GGAGAAGAGAGTATATACAACTCTGTTGAAGGAGCTTTCCTACAAGAGGGAGCAAAAATTGGGAGGGTCAGTAACTCAAGAGACAAATGGAATCAACAGAAGGTTGTTTTTCCTTGATACAATAAACAAACAAACAAAATTGCAACAGACACAGAGACACAGAGACCAGACGGGTCACTGCCAGAGGGGAGGGCGTGGGGGAGGGGGCTGGGTGATAGGGGTGAGGGGACTGAGAAGTGCAGGTTGGCGGTTACAAAGCAGTCCTGGGGATGTGGGGTAGAGCACCGGGCATATAACTACGTTTGGAGCTGGGTGGGTACTGGAAGTATTAGCGGGAATACTGGTATACAATTGTCTAATTCCTATGCTATATACCCAAAACAAATACAAAATGATACTGAAGAAATATTTAAAAGAAAGACAGCAATCTCAGAATATCGGCTGATGCGAGAGAGAGATCAGATTGCTGTGGTAACAGATCGTTTTTTAAATGAAAAAGCAAATAAAAGAAAGTGAACATTTTATTAGCATAGCAATGAAAGAGTAGACAAAGTAGAATTAAGACAGAAAGCATTAAGTGGGATAGAAGTTAAATGTATATTTGATAAACAATGGGACAAAGTAAGAATGTGAAGAAGAATTCCCCAGAAGAAGACTGCGCCCAGATCAATGTGTGGGCAAGACGGTGAAATCTTCAGGGAGAGGATCACATCTTTGCTACTAAACTCATCCAGACAACAAAAAGAAGGAAAATACTTTAGTTCATCTGAACAAATGGGGAGAAACCAGATACCAAAAACTAACAGGGAAGGCAAAAAGAAACAAAGTCAAATCTCTGTTATGAAGATTGATACAAAAAGCCTAAAATAAAGTGAGCAAATTAAAGCTGGCAACAGTGTTATGGAAAAACAGATACAAGCCCTGACTGGCGTAGCTCAGTGGATTGAGCACGGGCTGTGAACCAAAGTTTCGCAGGTTCGATTCCCAGTCAGGGTACATGCCTGGGTTGCAGACCATGATCCCCAGCAACCGCACATTGATGTCTGTCTGTCTGTCTGTCTCTCTCTCTCCCCCCCTCCCTTCCCTCTCTGAAAATAAATAAAAAGTCTAAAAAAAAAAAGAAAAAAAAAGAAAAACAGATACAGACCACGCAGGACTTACTCCAGGAGTACAAGGATGGCTCAACACAGACAATAGGACTACAATTAGTAATATTGTCCTTTAAAAGTGCAAAAGTAATTTAAATGGTCTCATTGGATATTAAAAGAGTGTTTAACATAAATTCAAGTAACATTCAAGATAATAAAAAGCTCTTAATTTAGGCATAGAAGGGTATGACCTCAATATGATAAAGACACCCATCTGGAATCGAGAGCCAGTGGAAACCATGTATCATGATAAGACCCTGGAGGCATGGCTAAATGTGCCCCTAACAAGGGCAACTGCCATCATCATTCCTTTCCAACAGTGTCCTAGAAACTTTAACCCGCAGAATAAAACAAGAAAAAGACATATTAAAAAGTATAACTCAACAGGCTAAAGTGAAAAATTCTTTAAAGTAATTTTTGTAAGCTCAGTAAAATGGCAGGATGCCAAAGACATATAGGAATCAATAGCTTTTCACAGGCTAAACTGGGTAGATTTCTAATTAAAAATTCCATTTTCAAAAGCAAATCCTCTCCACTCTCCCCCAAAAAGCCCTCTTAGCGCAGTGCCATCCAACAGAAAGGTAATGTGAGCCACACACAATTTTAAATGGTCTGGTTGCCACATTTTTTAAAGGTGAAATTAATTTTAATATATTTTATTTAACCTAATACCTGTCCAAAATATTATGAGTTCAACATCTCATCAATATTTTTAAACAATTACTGAGATATTTTTGTTCTCTTTTCATACGAAGCCTTCGAAATCAGGGGCGCTGGTGTGCGCACACAGCACATCTCAACACCGAGTGGCTGCACGGCGAGCCCTCACTGGCCACGGATGATGGCCGGTGGCCGTCGGACTGGACAGTGCGCCTCTAACAGACCTCGCTTTGTGCCTAAGAAAATACGTGCAGGCGGCTTACACACGGGAAAATTCCAAAACTTCTAGAGAACTTAAGAATCGATTTCAGTTAAAAGACAAATACGTGGCAGATTTCTGGAAGGAAATCTCCATACTGGGAAGATGCCTCCCCCAGATCACTATTATACATTCCACACAAGGCCAATCAAAACTCCAGAACTATTCTTTCTACTGTGGTGAACGACTTCCTTTCACAAACGAGGGGGAGGCTGTCGCTGGGGAGCAAGGCCACCCACGGAGCAGGTGGGACATTGTGTCCACACCGAGCCCAGTCAGGTACCAGCAGGAGCGCTACCATAGTGCCTTTTCGGGGTCTCCCGCCAGCTGGTGCGGATGCAGAACTCAGAGGGCTGAGCTTGGAGGTAGAAGGCACGCCTCCCCACAGGCATGCTAGTTTGGGTGCCCCGCGGTCGGTGTAAATCTGGCCCCGGAAACTGGAAATCGCTGAGGTCACATACTTCGAACGTCCTATTCAATTAGGTTAGAAAAGTGCCAATTCTGTCATCGTGTCATAAAAACGTGTGCTTTTCCCTCAGCTCCCTTCTGGAGACGACTTCCCTGTATTGTTACAGATGGGGCTGCTTTCAATCAGCTACAAGGAGCAATTCAATTACTAGATGGTTTAGTGCAGTAACTGACTCCAGACTAATTTAATTTCTTCAGGTCTCTAAAGATCAATTGATCTGATTTGTCCCATCCCCAAAGGCTGTTTAGGAAAAATTCAGACTTCAATACCTGGGAATGAAATCCCAAACCCTGGCCGATTTCACACGACTCGAGTCACGTTGCAGACACTCAGCTGAGACGTAAGATGCTCCCCTGGCCCTCCAGCCACGGGAAGCCACTCAGCATGGTGTGCGTGCACGTGGCCCCTGAAATCAGGGTGCTCCTTCACTGAGTGGGAGTGTGTCACAGGCATCGTCCCATCTGTCATTCCAAACGGGCAGTCGGCCTGGGCACTCCTGTCTCTGGAGCACATGCGCAGTCGCAGGGCTAGTCTTACTCCTGGCGAAGTTTGTGCAGACTCTTAGAAGGAGACTTGGATGGGGCGAAAACTAATCTCATCTCCTAACAAGAGGAGCCTGCATTTACAAGCTCCTTTCGTGAATGCCACCTTCCTTGGTTCTCACAATAAACCTGTGGAGCGAGCAGGGGTATTTTCTTTATTTTCTAGAACGAGGACCACGGACTCAGAGGTTCGATGACTTCTCCAGGATCCCTCTGCCAGGAAAAGGCAGAGCTGGGACTCGAACCCTTGACTTTGCCTCCCGATAGAACACAGGCACCCTGGAGCTGAGAGAGAAGGTATGACGTCCACTATGAAGGCACACACACCCCCACCGCCCCCACTGAGCCACCGTCTTCATTCTTGCATGACGCCTGACTGATGCTGAGGAGGGTTCACTGTTTCTGGTCCCGTCTGCACCATGAGCCCGGGCTGCACCAGAGCCTCCGGCACTCCAGAAACAGCTGGAGAAGGTCATGCCTCCCGAGAGCAGACCGTACACGGACTCACCGGTTATCCACACCGCTGATGCCACATTCTCACCGAGCTGGGTCTCAAGGCTGATGATGTGCGCGCCCATGACCCAGCTAATGAGGGAGCTGCCCACCTGCCTTTTCAGCTCCTGTGACGGATCTTCACCCGCAAGCTCGTTTCTCCCCCTAATCTGAACGCCTCCCAAGCGCTCGTGAAGGCTTCCGACCACGGAACCTTTTTTTCTACCCAAATCCCACAGTTCCCGCCCTACTTTCAGCCTGTCCTGCTGGCTTCTCTGCCTCCCCACGGAGCTTCCATAGCTGTTCCCCCAAATGACAGCCACCCCACCATGCTCTGCCACGTGGGAAGGCTGAGGGAAGGATCAGACAGGTGTTGCTAAAACATGTGATTTTTAAAAAATCTGAGCTACCCAGACAGGTTGGGAAGAAGGGATCACGTGGAAGCGAGCGAGCGAAGAGCGTGGCCAAGCGTAGCAGCTGGTAGGAAAGTCCCATAAAGATCTGGAGGTAAGACCAGGCAGAGGGCTGGCGCCCGGTACCCCTCCCACCCACAGAGACTTCAGGCCACACAAAAGAATGAGCACAGAAGATGGATAAGGTCTGAGAACCTAATGTATACCAGGGTGATTAGAGGTGATGATACTATTGCATAACTGAAATTGGCTAGCAGAATAGAACAGAAATGTTCTCCTACATACACAACACAGACCTAGTAAGTTACACAGTATGTATAAGAGATGCCAATAACCATGTTTAAAAAATGCCTTGTCTCTGAAAAGCACACTTTTTGACCCTCCTGTTGGACCAACCACGGATCCCAACACAGTCAGGACTGAACACAGCGACGGCCTCACACTGAACCATTCGAATCAAGTTAAAAGCCGGGCAGGTCCCAGGCACAGGACTGTCACTCATCCACATAAACGTCCCCAGATCTGACATCTCTCCCATTAAGCAGAAGCAGTCCAAGCTCCCGGTCAGACATGTGCCTCGAATTAAATTCCATCTCCTTTTATTTCAAAATCCCGAGCTGCCTTTGTCTTCTTCATGTTAGCAAGTACCCCCAGCTCAGAGGCAAAGGCTATCAGGACCCCATTCCTCTGCAGATTGCCACTCAAGACGTGGTGCTTAATACCACCAAGAGGGCTGAGTCTTTGATAACAAAGAGGCCCCACTTTTTACAGCTGCATAAATGTCCCGACCAAAGGGACCACTTCACTCAGAAACAGCACAGGACCGACCCGGCTGCGGCAGCTGTCAGAACTTAAGCACGGGCGGAGCTACAGGGTTCAGAAGGGAAGGGGCAGAGACACGGAGATTATATACAGTGAGGTTACAGTTCGTTGGCGTTGAAAGGAGCGTGTTCTTACAAACTCGCTCTTCTCTTTATCTTATCTGGACAAAGAAAGTAAACAGAAAATTCTCATTACCTCTCAATGTCAGTAAGCCTGGAGGAGTCTCGAAATCCTTTGGCAAAAGGGTTGCTGTCTATTTTCAGCTTGGTTATCTGGAAGGGGAAGAATGCGTAACACAACAATTATCATTTCTGAGGTCCAGGAAATAAAAAATCAGAAATAGAGAGCGTGTTCATTTTCCACTGTGGCACCCCAAGAATACCCAGTGTCTCTCAGGATTGTGAGAAAGGTCACACTCGCTAGAGAGTTCACAGGAAGGGTGGGCGGGGTGGGCTGGGATGCCTGGGGAGGGCATGGGCTGGGATGGCCAGGGGAGGCCTCAGAGAGAAGGAGGTGTCTGAGAACAGGCTGGAGGTCAGTGGGTAGGGACAGTTAGGGGTGGGGGCCTTTCACGCACAGCGTGGCTGCCGTGTGAAGTGTGTCGGAGAGTCACGGCACGCTGGGGCCCCACGGGCAGTGGGGGAGCTGTGCGGAGGGCCAGCGCCGGGGGGCATGGGGAATAAAACCGAGAACGCTGCCTCACGCTGACTTGGCAACATCATCTGTTAATGCCATAGGCACATGTGGACACCGTAACGGTTAAAGAAGCTTAAACGGCCAAGAACAGCTTCACGCTCAATGCTATCTTGAGATACATGGCATAAATAAAGGCTACAGAGCTTTCAGAATATAAATGCACCCCAGTATGCCCTTCCGTCTCACTGAATTAGACTCAGATGAGTCGGTCTTTCGCTGTCCACCCCTGCAATGTTATTTACAGACTCTGAGTTACATGGAAAAAAATTACGTGCTAATAAGAACTACGGTCTGAAGTATTGAGTATCTATGCTGTGCTAGCCCTGGTGCCCACAGTATTAATATTAATGGGAAAAGATCCATTAAATCACATGCACTGTATCTCCAAGAATAACAAATCAGGTAATGAAGAAAAACAAACAAACAAATAAAGGGAGCACTGATGAAAAGACACTTGGCTGGTGAACTTCTGGGTGTTAGAGCTGAGAGGCACCTAGGAGAACTGACAAAAAGAACCACAGGCCCCTTTACAGAGAGTCGTAGCTCGTTCACATCAGTAAGAGAGCCCGCGCTAATCTTTACAGGGGCGCACGAAACGGTCTTAGCCTGGGGAAAAGGTGGCAGGTTGAGGCGTGTCCCTCTCTTTCGTAGCGGGGAGCGCACAGAGCCAGTCTGATGTGCTATTTCACCAGAAGCAACTCTTCCTCGGATCTCAGTGTATCTATTGTTCACTTTAAGCCATTAACACCTAAATAATGGCTTTTGTTAACACAAAAGAAAAGCGTTTATTTCCTCTTTCACGTTTTCTTGATGTCAGCTAACCACAGTACATGCTGCAAAGAAGCTACTTACCTCCCCTACAGCGGAAATTCCCACACTGGCGTTTCTCTGCCATGACCACTGGGGAGCTACAAGGTTGATGCTTTGATAGTATTAATGTTGAGGGCACCTGATAGCGCCTGAGAAGTGCTCGTGTTCAGCCCGAGAACACTCACTCCAGAGCAGCCAAAAAGAAATTTGCTACTTTCCTTTGCAGCTCAGTTCATGGAGAATGGAACGCAGGGAAGGAACGAAACTAGCTAAGTCAGCAGTCTGTTCTTAATGGACAGCAACAGCCACTGGGAGGATGCATAAAAGGAACAGGCGGGGACCCCGGAGGTGGCCTCTAAGGTGTGACCGTCTGGAGTTTGTCGAGAACCCCCCCTCACACGCAGCCACGGAGCCCAGAGGGGTGGGAGTCGGTGTGAGCCGCTCTTTCAGAGTAGGACTTACTTCCGAAGGTCCATTTTCGAGGTGAAGGAGGAAAGTTTTATTTGTTTGAAATAAATTTATAAACATCTTCTAGAGCCCAAGCAACCATTATATTCCAAGATTATTGACACCAAGACTTTCAATTCAAAGACAGGAGTTGTGCTTTTTTCTACTGAATAATTATAAGGTAAAATATGTTTTTAAAGTGTTTTATAGTTCGTGAAACAGCTTTTGCCATAACTCAGGGACAGATCGTTAAGAGAGACTGGTTACTTATCACACCCTCTGAGAAATGTCAGGTGGGACAAAAATAAGGAACACACAGTCCCTGCCCTCATGGGACTCAGATCTCACGGAGCGGGCAGAGGGACACACGGCTGGCCAGAGCTGAGGTGGTGGGTCCCAGGGAGGAGGGCGCCATCCCATCCCGGGGAGTGGTCCAGATGTTCTGGGTGAGCCGACCCCAGAGGGAAATCCCCAGCTGAAGCTGAGAGATGAAGCAATCGAGTGAAGGCCTCTTTTAAACTCAATTACTCATCACGAGCTCATTTGTGAAGTTAAAAAGTAAATGGATTTACCAATGAATAACATTTTCTGCAGACAATGGCAGATAATAAATGCATCTGCTGGAAAAACTAAGGACTCTGCAGTCAGAGAAAGACAAATGCTGTACGATTTCACTTTGATATGGAATCTCAAGAACAAACTAAACAAAAAAAATGAAATAGACTCATAGACACGGAGAGAAAACTGGCAGTAGCTGGGTGAGGGGTGGAGCGCTGGGTGGAGGAGGGGAAGGACTGCGAGGTACGGATTGGTGGTTACAAAACAGTCACGGGAAAGCGAGTGAAGCACAGGGGATACAGTCGATGATATTATAGTAACATCACCATGGATGGTGCCCGCTGGGGACTGGAAGTGCCAAGGGGAACACTATGTAGAGAGTACGACTGTCTCACCACTACACTGTACACCCCAAACTGATACATAACAGAATAAAATACAAAGAAAGAAAAACTAAGGACTTGGAAAGAAGTGCTTTTACATCATCCCTCTAAAATGTGAACTGAGTGAAGCTTTGTTGGAGAATATATACAAACTAAAAGGATGGAAGGTATTATCTCTCTGTTGTAATTGAAGAATGACTTCTCACCCGCTTTGTCCCTGGAAAGAAACTGTGGAAACTGCACTTGTTGCTAGTAGAGCTGCCGTGGAGAATGAACACCCCCACACCTGGGGGGCCCCTCTGGCGTCACCACGCCTCGCTGCCTTCACTTTGAATTAGGAGGCGAATTAAAGCCAACACCCGTTTTCCAATTTTGTTGGAATTTTCTTTCATTATGAAAACTTTCTACTTCCTCTATCCTAAATACCTCCTTCATAAACCCCTGGAGTAGCAGTGGTAACTTTTTTCTTTACGTGTTGATACGACCTCCAACCACAGGCAAGTGTGGAGACTGGCACCAGGTAGGTGCGCTCCTACACCTGACTTCCCAGTGGGCCGCAGCAACGATTTGACTTGAGTGCACCGCTTACAAAAGGAGCACAAGAAGATAACCAGGTATCCGCTTTCTCTATGGACCATTGATCTAATTCCAGGGAAAGCAATTGCTTTTATAAGTTGGAGAAAAAACATTGAATGGAGTTCTTATTACTAAAATGGTGTGGGGGCCTGGATTAACCTCCAACCTCGAACAGGTTTTATGGAGCACGGATCGGCAGCACAGGGGCCACGGGTTCAAGTCCTCAACGAGCCTAGGGTGGCCCCCGCGCTATCACTAGGCTCGGAATCCACTGCGGTGCTAACGATGGTCACCCGGAAACACTGGCTGACCTTTGCTCCCGGAGAAAGCAGTCGGAGCTATGACTCCTTCTTTCTAGTTACAGACCGAAGGAAACTCGGCTTCAGTCCCCATGGAAAGCACTTTCACTTGGTTTTCTGTCTTAAGATAAAATAATTTTTAGCAAAATCTTAACATTCTAGGTAATCATGCCTTTTTCAAGGTCAGGCAATATGTTTTATTTTCCTGGGATATTTAAGTACTTAGAATACCTGCCGCTTGTGACACCGTTGAGCAATGTCACCCTCGTCAAAGGTAAGGACGCCCAAAACAGTCCAACACCAAACATAACATGCATAGTCTCGATCATCTAAAGCACAGGTGTGGCCTAGAATTCAAAACTACATTATAAAAGCAGCAAGGTCTTTCACTGGGCGAGGAAAAAGCACTAATAGACAAGGACAGCACTTTGCGCGGAAGAAACCCTGTCGTTTAGTGTCGATGCACACACATGCACGTCGCTAATTCAGGCCAAAACGCACCCATCATTTTGTGCATTGAACTGACAATGTAGAGAGAACACAATGCAGGTCCTAACCAAAAAACACACTATTTCAGCATCTCCTTTATCTGCAGATGAAGGTGTGCGTGACCGCAAGGCAGCTGTGCCAGAGAGAAGGGGACCTTCCCAGTGGCTGGCATTCCCCATGACATCACGGGTCTCGGAGTCCATCCGGGGCTCCCAGCCGGGGCTCCCAGGCGGGGCTCCCAGCCGCAAGGCGGAATGGGCCCTCTGAGACCATTTCTCCAATTATCAGGAGAAGATCTGGCCGAAGGCATTTAAAAATGAAACCTGACCTACACTTCAACTCTACCGCAGTGGCCCGCCTGCTCAGAAACCAGGTATGACCTTTAAGTCTTAAATTATAAAATAGTTTGTTGAAAGTATAATGTATTTAGCTTTTATCTAATAATGTAGACAAATGCAATCATTTCCTCGCCAAAACCAGAGGAAAAAATAGTAAAAAAAAGAAAAAGGGTCCCATTTTCATTACTTATAAATAAAACTACCAGCCACAATAAACGAGAAGCTTTTTCACAACTCTATTGGAAACTTGGATTTGGCTTTTAACAGAGATAAAAATAACAGTCCTAGCTAAAGTTTCAGAGATATGAAGGTGATCCTGATGAGTTTTATAATATTCTTCCTCTTTCTTCTTTATACTCTGTGCACAGAAAAATTCTAATAGTTCTGCTATCCTTAGTACATATTTAATTTACTTCCTATATATTTATTTTATTCTATGCTTGCCATAAGATAAGCAGTACACAAACACGATATAATAAGGAAAAAGCAGCCGATGCAGGGAGGCCTAGAAGAATCAAGGATGACTTCAGAAAATGGTATAGGATTAAAGAAAATACCAACCCCCAAATGATTTACTCGCCCCATATATGTTTATTAAACATGAGTTTTGATTGGCCTTATGAAATTTATAAACGATTTCAAAACTGACTTGAAACCCAAATCCAATCTTCATTACATTTTTTTGTCCTTGGCTCAATTCTTACTTGAATTTCAAATGTGCACGTGGCACTGTGCTAGCGGTCAGGGTTTTAAAAGTAGATGCATAGAAATAAATGGACTGTTGGAACCTGGCAGCACTGCCCCTTCAGTTTCTAAGCCTCAACACTGGCAGCAGTCCCCTCTTCCTCGGCCTTGCCGTCGAGCACGAGGCCACCAACAAGGAGGAGCTCAGGCCCCGCAGACGGTCCTGTCACTTACCAGATTTGTGTGACCCTCGGCAAGGGTATTAACTCCTCTGACCCTGTTTCTTCGTCTACAAAATGGGGCCCAAGGGGGCCTTCTGCGGGGAATTAGTGTCAGCGTTAAATGGGATCGTGAGAAAAAATGTGGAGAGATTTTTCTAAATTAAAACTAATACATCCAGCCCTGGCTGGCATAGCTCAGTGGATTGAGAGTGGGCTGTGAACCAAAGTGTGGCAGGTTCGATTCCCAGTCAGGGTACATGCCTGGGTTGCAGGCCATGACCCCCAGCAACCGCACATTGATGTCTCTGTCTCTCTCTCTCTGTCTCTCTCTCTCTCTCTCCACCCCCCTCTCTAAAAATAAATAAATAAAATCTTAAAAAAAAAACAACGAATACATCCAACCATGAACTTCAGTCGGCTCCTAGTTCAGCGGGGAAAAGGGGTTGTGAAAGACATTTGTTGGTCTGTCCTGAAGATGTTACTATGAACTGAATGTTAGATGATCCTAAGGAATGTCTTATTGCTTTCCTTCGCTGTGATAAAGACACTGTGGTTACAGAAACAGTATTCTTGTTGTCCGTGTGCACTTGTAGGAGCCTCCACTGGGAAGCATCACGGTGCACACGAGTGAGCGAGTATCAGATGATGGCAGGGACGGGGGAACGGGTCCGTGCGGAGGGAGACCTGGGCGGAGACAGCCAAGTGGCACGATGTTACTTTTTTGATCTGGATGGAGGACATGGTATTCATTGTACCATCTGTGTAGCTCTTACATATTTGAAGGTTTTCTAAGTAGAAAGTGGAGCGGGACAAAAAGCATCAAAAGAGGTCGCGTCATTAGAACGTGTGGCCCCTGTTGGACACAGCCGGTGCCAGTGGCCATGCTGACGGCCAGTTTAGGACGACTGCCCCCTCGTCACACTGGCGGGCAAGCGGGAGCCCTTGTTGAAAAGAAAAAAAATGAACATGACGTGAACCTAAAGAGTTGAAATCCTCTGAAAAGGAAGTCCTGGAGTCAGTCCATCGGGGTCACAAGCCAGGAGGACACCAGGCAGAGAGAGGTTAAGGACACTGACCACCTGGGGTCAAACCTGATGGGTGCAGGACGGTCACCCTAGATGAGCTATTTAACTCCATGCCTCCGTTTTCCAGCTGTATGGGTGGCATAGAAATACTGTTGTTCCTATCACATAAAATCATTGTGAAGATGAAATAAAACAGCGCAGTGTAAAGGGTGCCTCGCACACAGTAGGGACCCAATATTGGCTATTAGTGTAATCACGTAGATGATGACCCCTTGGCCCGTGAACCAGGATGTGAGAGGCCCTGCTAACAGTTACTCAGCGTGGCTCCTTTACCTCCTGGCAAACCGCATCTAGATGTTCTTCTGTGAAACTTCCTTTCATTTTGCTTTCATCCTTTAAGATAATCGGTATGATAGCATTTGGGCATTCGTGTATCTCATTAAAAAATAAGCCACTAACATTTCAACATGCAAATGGTGACAGATCCTCCCTGGACAGTCCAGGGACGGTCCAACAATAACCACACGCCTCATTCAGAGCACCTCACGGTGTCCGAAGGTGCGTTTCCCCACGGCATCTCGTCTGGTTCTCCCCGGCATCCCCGAAGCCGGTCGGGGCAGTCTCCGCCCCAGCTCGCAGGGAAGGAGAGCAGCAGCCACAGGGACACCTACTCGGGGCCCTACAGGCACGACAGGGGTCCGCCCCGGTGTTTGCCCACGGCCCTGCTCTGGGTCCCCCCTTCCTTATCTGAGCAGAGCTCCCCGGGCTTCCAGCGTCATGGCATTGCTTTTCCTGAGAGACCCAGCACCCTGGCTCCTCTGGCCGGCCAGCCCGTCTGGACCTGACAGCACCCAACAGTTGTTCCCTCGCAACCCAAACTGCAACAGGACAGGCGGAGAGCGATAGTCCTGCTACCCGTAACCAACCAAATGAGAGCCGGACACTGAGGGCCATCCCCCACCAGAGAGGGTGTGGACAACTGAACTTGGCGAGCAAACTGACAGTGGGAGTTTCTTTGACGGAAAAGAAGTCCTGCTCCCGGTCTTTGCCGACTGCACAAGAACCGCTTGTCCTGTCCGAGCGTCGGCATCCTCACTGCAGAAGGCTCCTGTCACCCCAGCCCCCACGGCTATGCCCGCCAGGAATGAAGGAAATATGCGGGGAAGGGCCGAACGGCACCCAGCCCTCACCAAGACTTTGGCATTTATGGAATTGAACTAAACCTTATGGATAAAAAAAAATGCGTACATTTTCAATGCGATGTACAACAGAGATTGGAAAATATATCACTCAATATTATCAATTACATTTCTTGATGGCAATTAAACACACACTGCTTACATACTACCGTTTCTCTGAAGAGACATTTAAAATCATTCCACTAGAATGAACATGCCCCAACTTCCAGCTGAATGAGCCTCACAAAGCTACCCCAAGCGTCAGCGCTGTGGGCAGTTGGCTAGAATGTGTGTCCTAATTTAGCAGAAGAACGCAAGTCCTACATTCTGAGGAGCAAACAGTGCGTGGATGATTACGTACGTTATGAGACTCTATCAGGAAGAGGAAAAGGAAGCAGGTACTTTCTCGAGCAGAAACTCGAGAAGCCAAAGAGAGGCGGGTTCGAGTGAGAGAGTGAACAGCGCGGACCACCGGCCTCGGAGCTCGAAGCTTCTAGACCAGACGGTGTCATCCGGCACTCGCAGAGGCCCCGGGGGCTGGTACTTCAATAGCTCTCTGCAAAGTGAACTTCTATTTTAAGTACCGGGACAGTTGTTCTCTCCAAGAAAATGAAAGAGCCTCCTAAGTCCTTATCTCAGTTGGGACGTAACTGGGGAACGCAGCACTCACCAGCTGATTCTGATAGGCGGTGACCGCCGTGAAGACGGTCTCGGGGAAGATGAACGTGCGGAACTCTTCCGACTTCAGGTTGAGCAAGGACGCCGTGTGGTCTTTCTTCTTAATGATGTGCACCCGCGGCTGGTACTTGTGCATCGAGTTCAAAATGATCTGCCGGGAAGAAGGGGGGAGGGGTACTGACTTTCAGGTATTGATATTGCTCAGCGGGCCAGATTACAATCCGGGGACAAGGAACTGGAAAGTCTGCAGTTTCAAGTTCAGGTTTGCAGCAGGACCTACCCTGTTCCATTCTTAAAGCAAATCACTTCCCCAAGATACTGCAGGGTCATCCCTGTAAATCACATTTTACCAAAACAAGGGCAGATAATACAGGGGGTTTCAAGTGTCTTTTCTAAAGTGACGCAGGGAAGGTCATCTGGAGAATGAGTTTATTTAGTTTTAAATCAAGTTTCTAAAACATTTTTTTGTGTGTTAGTCTCGTTAGACCAAAGGATGTTTGTGTACATTTTCCGAAGCAAGGAATTGTATATGCTAGGAGGACAGATTGCTATTTACTGGGGATGGGGGGGGTGGATTAAACAATTTAGAAAGGCCGTGCGATATTAAACAGATCTAGGATAGAACACTGAATCTGCTACTTCCTAGCTCTTTACTCTTGGGGCGGGTGACCTCACCTCTCTCCAACCTCAGCTTCTCAAAAGCAAAACCAGTATTAACCTCACTGGGTGTGGTGAGGATTCAATGATGTCACCCTTATAAATCACAGAGCAAATAGGAAATCCTCAAAAAACGTGAACTCTATTATTATTGTTGATGTGGCTGATTCCTGACTTCCGGTTATAAACTAAACATGAGTGATAGTGATGGCCGTCTTCCGTTCCGTAGCTCATAAAAGCTGCCCCGTGTTTAGAGATCATACCCTACCCTGGTCAACAAGGCAGTATTTTTTCACGCAACTCTTAAATAAAATACATTAATTTGCCACTATGAAATCTGCGCGACAAAATTCACTTTGGGATACGAAAGGTTTTCCATATCGCCGCCCCCACCCCTACTCCTGCCCCGACACCCAGCGAGCTACCTAAATCTCCAAAATTCATCGTGTCTTTCCCAGCATACCAGGCCTCACGTGGTAGGCCCTATACCCCAAGGGCCCAGCAGAGAGCCTGGCTCTCAAGGGAGGCGTTTTATAAACGCTATGGCAGGACCAAGTTCAAATGCACACAGCGCTGCTGCAACCCACGGTTGGTTCCCCTGTTGGCCTGGCTAACATGGGTGTGGCGCAGGAGGGCCCCTGCTGGTTGACTTCACTAGTCACGGTGGGAAACCTGACACGGAATCGACCTCCCTCGGTGCCGAGACACAAGCCAACTCCACGTTCCAGCGCGTCCATTGGCACTGAATTTTGTGCCCGCCGCCTTTTCATGGTCCTAAACCCGAGTAGGCATAACGGAAACCTATGAGAGCTTTAGACACATTGACATAAATGTTAAAAAGAAAAAGTCTTCTCTTTGTATAGTGCGTGCATCCTAAGGAGTTCAGGATATCTGTGCTCAGTCATAAGCCTGGAATAACCTTGACACGACAAAATACTGGTTCAAGAAAATACCTGAGCATTCGTGATACGTATGCCCTACGAAGAAGACAGAATTTTCAAATCCCACACACAGCGGGAAAAGCCTAACCTTTAAAGAAGGTCCTGGCTCCCCTTCTCACGCCACCCCAAGGTCAATTCCCTCTGGGAAAAGACACCAGGTAGACTCCGACCTCAGAGTGAGCCTCAGACTCCGGGCTCCTTGACTCCCTGCTCAGCCCTCACGGGGCGGAGGAACACTCATAAAAATGTGGACTCTGCTTCCTCGTGCTTCCAAACAAACTGCTGGAAGTAAGGGTTTTTCCTGTTATAAAACTCAAAGCGCATCGGTAAGAGGGGCCTCGTCAGGGCTAATTCAGAGGATGCGGCCAAACGGCCCAGGTCCTAAAAATGTCCCCTCGTCTTCTCCAGAGCACACTGTGGCTGGTGGCAACGGGTTATATTAAATAACAAGATTTTAAAGTCAAAATGGATATTAACAACAACCTAAAACTAAGCAATTTGTCAAAGTCCAATCTCGCAATCAGACGAGAGCCCAGAGCTCTGGAAATACAGCTGAGTGCTCACCGATGCTCACCTGTGAGGCTGAAGCTCAAAGGAAAACGTGTCCAGGTCTGGACAGCTGCTCTCAGAAAGAACTTTCGAGTCTTCCCAGAGGGAACCCAGAGCTTCAAAAAGCTTCACATAAGGACAATACTAGAACCGTTAAAATTTTTCATGTCTCCCTGCAAAGATTTTGGTAGAGCCCAAGAAATGTCAACATGGCTGATATAAAGAGGGATCATGGGCCTACAGGAAATGTCTCTCAGATACATTATAAATTTTAACCTGCAAAAATATGTGAATGGAGACAATCTTTGAAAAAAAAAAGGGACAATTATGCCAACACCCTTAGGTCAACTACGTTTTCCAACACGTGAAATAACAGAAACCTGTCCACCTCCTCCCAGCGTCTGAATGGCAGCCGCAGGTGAGTCACAGGTTAACCTGCTCACTCTCGCTCGGCCGTGATAGGCCAGGCCCCTGTGGGCACGGGGAGGTCAGCCAGGCCTGAAGCGACCTCTTTAGTTTGGGGTTCAAGCCAACCACCTGAAACCACGTCTAGAACCTCTATTTATTGTCTACGTATAACCGTCTTTTCTGGGAAAATGTTTTGAAATTCTTCTAAATTGAACCAATCCAACAGAAACGAAACCCTAACGTCACAAGAGCCTAAAGTAAGGGGATAAGAGAGAAAATAATTGCATCAGAATGTCTAAGCCCCAAAAAGCAGCTAGGAAAATACCAATGTGCTTTGTGTCAATTAAGGCCAAAAAAAAAAGTCAGTATTCTCATCAAAAAGAAGTATGCAAGTCTGTCCAAGTTTTCTTAGACTTACAATCTTTAAGAGCACAGGTAGTTCCTTAAAAAGCAATCTTATCCAATGCGCAAAGGCCCGCGCCAGTAGCTTTTGTTCTATTAACTATTGGTAAGAGCTCAGAATTCCCGTTTCTCTTTTTCTACTTTTTGATGAACTCAGATGCATCAAATTGTTTTGTTTTTAATTGCAAGACTCCTCTGTGCCTCACTATTCATAAGACTCTCCACAAAGGGGATGTATACCGAGCACAGAGCACTGTCCCAAACTTATTTAGACATCATTTCCAATGGTTGGCTTGAACCCAAAACCAAATCAATCCCTTCAGGCCTGGCTGACATCCACAGGCCCACAGGGCCCCCGTTTATCACGGCCAGGACGCCGTAACCAGGTCCACTCGGGACTCTGCTAGCGCGCTGTTCCGATGCTGGGAGTAGCTGAACAGGTTTCAAACTTACTTGGACATAACACCCTTTTGTTCTTTTGCATCTCACGCGAATGTGTCCATAGAACACGCTTTAGCAACCCCCATGGGGGCACCTCAGCCCTGTTCCTCTTATGCTGTGTTATCTGATAGACCCCCGACAGAATTAGGATGTCTAACCCACAATCGGGCTGGAGTCGCCTCCACCATGCACGCTCTCTTTGTTTAACTGGCGTGGGTGCAAAGCCATTGCTGAAGTCTCGGGAAATCCATGGTGCCGAAGGCCCCCGACCCTCTTGCATGGAAATGGCCTCCTGGCAACATGACTACAGGGAGGTCCTCATAGAATGATTCAGAGCTAGAGGGTGGCAGAGGCGGAGGGAGAGGAGGAAGGCAGCGCTGGGTGGCTTCTCCATTGCACCCCGAGTGCACTCAGCCCAAGGTGCTGCACTTACGTGGCCGTGTTGGTCCAGTTCGTTGTTGGTGAGTTTCACCTTCTCGAAAGACACCATCTGTTTGAGTAGTTGCTCGCCCGTGAAAGGGGAGTCTGGGTGCACGTACAGCCTGAGAAAATTGGGAGATTTTATTGAGGCATTTTTAAAAAATCTGTTCTCTGTGGGTTATAAAATATTCTGATTCTAAAGGGACACAAAACCCCCATATAAGGGGTGGATTTTATTTGCTCCATATAATTTCAAATTTCATAATACAATGATACCAAAATAACTCCAAAACCTCTAAGTGTTTCTTTATGTGTCAATGATCTAAAAGGGAAAATACTTAATAAACTTTCTATTATCTGTTGAGCAAACCATTTTTAAAGATAGGGTTTTTTTTTCTGCATAATAGGCTACTAGGCCACTTCTATAAAACATAAAATCTCATTGGTAAAGGAATTCTCAAAAGAAAGATTATGTTATCCTAATTGCATAATGAGGTTGTAGGTTAGGCATTGCTATAAAGCAATGAAGACATAAGGAATTTAAAAGAGGAAACAGTTCTAGAGAATCCATTCATTTAAAGTAGAAGGTGACTGAGTTTCAAGTTCATGGTCTTAATAAATACAGGACAGAGTAACTTGGATACAGTGAGCTGGAAACTTAATAGCCCACACATCATAACTGGGTGCTCTACCTTCAATGCTATTTCTTCCCTCATCATCTTGTGAAATCACGAGAATGAAAACAAGCTGAGTAAGCTTCAGTTATTCAATGTATTTATTTGTAAACAACCTAAGTCAAAAAGTGTATTTATCAAGCATGTATCATCTATCGATCAGGTGCTACGTGCAAAACAATATTTTCAGTTAGACTCAGGCCATCTGTCCTGCCTGTGAGTACCCCACTAAGTACAGCTCTTGGTAACTCCCAGTCCTGGTTTCCACGTGACAGAAGCTCTTCTGAAGTTGGGGGAGATCCCACAGCCGATAAGAGGGGAAGGAACCGTGCTTGATTCCACAGGTAACAGATCATTTATATCTGAACTTTGTATAGGACCCTTATAACTCTAATCAAACATAAATATTACAGTGGGGGCCAAGGCAAGAAAAAAGACACGGAACCTTTCCTTGCAATGTTCACGTGGAGAACCAGAAGTCTGTGCTGTGGTTTGTCACACAGAGGGTGGAGAACAGAGCCCCTGGGGACAGGAGCTCAAGCAACGCCCAGCAGAAGCAAAGCACAGCAAAGCACAGCAAAGGCTGGCAGCCACGGAGACTCTTACTAGGCCCGCGCAAGAACCAGACGGGCCTGCGGTGTTCGTTCGCCTGCCTGTTTGCGTGATTTTTCTTTCCAGGACGAGTGCTCAGAATTGCCTTTCCACTGCAGTGTTCTTTGATAACACGATGATAATGGCCTTTCACGTGCCACCCCTCTGGGGCTATAGCTTCATTGCTGCAGCTGTTTTACCTGCCGGCACCCCGTCCGACCCGCCCTGCCAAAAAGGCTTCGAGAATATTTAATGTCCCGGAAGCTGCTGAAACGTTTTCTAAGTATCAATTCACCAGGTGTAACCACATTAATAAAGATGAACATATTTATTAAATATCAATTACTCTCAAGAACAGAAAATGTCCTCTGTGAAAACAGAGCATTATTTTAGATCCTGCATAATGTCTTGCCCGTTATTGTGATCAAATGATGGGGTCAAGCGTTACTGCGTCTGATTAGGCGCAACCGACTGAGGAAGCTCAGTCTGCAACAAAATGTGTCCGAGGACTAGAGCCCAAGGAATCCGCACCGTCAACACAGAAACGATCACCCTGCCGCGTCTCCCACCTTTTCTTTCACGGAGCTAGAAAATACACGGCACTGTTTCCTTTTTAATAATAATAAAGGACAGTGGCTTAAATTATCCAGAACATTTCCATCCTATAACACACTAAACACTTTTATCTAATATCCACATAAATAAGCCGAGCTAAGATGAATGAAGACGCCCACAGGAAGCCCCTCCCCTCTCATGGTCCCGGGGACTTAAAATTCCAGCAATAGCTTACACATGCTTCAGTTAAGATAGTGTATTGGTACGTGTTTTCTTTCTGCAACCAGAAGAGATTAGTAACATAAACAAAGCCTGTCATATTTCCAAAGGCCTGCTGGCCTGCACCAGTCCCCCATACCTTCAGATAGGAACAAAACACACGCTAAGTAAGATTGATTAACTTCTTAGAGGAAACACTTTAAAGGGGAAAAAAAAAGAGGGTTTGTTTGTAAAAATGGTTAGGAGTCTGCTAACATCCCCCCTCCTCAAAAAGCTGGAGAGTAATGCGAAGCAGCTATCTAGTAGTAAATAGTAGCAAACACGAATTATATTCATTTTAATCGCTATTGGACACTGGTGACTCTGGCTTGCTCAATTAAAACGTAAGTAACAATCTTTTGTCTCAGTCATTGAATATGTGTTCATGTACTGGCTCGGCAGGGTCGGGAGGATGTCCTTCCCGGTCCCTGGTGGGAGTGGGAACCTCAGAGAGGCTCCTGCCCCCTCCTCCCCAGCGCTTCCAGCACACCGTGGGCTCTATAACGAGATCGACCACCAAACAAGCGCAACGCTCCCTCCGAACTGTGTGTGCGACTTGTCGGTGTGGGTCCTGTGCGGCCGCTAAGACTCCAGACCGCCCCCTTACACACAACCAGCTGCAACCCCAGAGCTCTTAGAACTCTACAGCTAAATCAGTTTTCAGCTCTGAGACGACCTTTCGGTGGATTACAAAAATTGGCTGTAAAACAACTTAAAAGCTGTGAGACTCGGCTGTAGAACCCTAAGTGCTAATATTCCTTGCATTAAAGTGCACACTTAGGTTCCCACAACTATAGCTGTTCCTGTTCACATAAATAAATAAATAAATAAATAAATAAATAAATAAAATACATGTTCTCCCCCTCCCGCCCCCTCCCCATGCTCAGCTGGGCAAAGCAGCAATACTCAAGGTTTACATGTGGGATTTTAAACGGGGTTCTACTGGAAAAAAACATTATTACCAACGAATAGCACAAAAGTAAACATATTTGATCCCTACTATACTAATTGAGTAATGTTTCATGTAAAAAAAAAGTGTTAACCTGATGTTGAATAATACATTCATCCACTTAAAAATTAAACTTAAAAATCTCTGAGCCCTTTCTGGCCAAAAAAAAAAAAGCACATTTTACCAAAATGATATTTATTATGTGCAGCTTTAAGCACACTGTTAACAAATATTTACTACAAGCAAGCACTGCACCAAAAGGCACTTTTTAAGAAGGATTTTAGGGCAACCACTTCGTCGGTAGATTTATAGGGCCCGGTGTTCGGCAGCCAACCGGAAATGATGAATGCCGTGCGAAATGGGTCCCCGTCTCTAGCCAACATTGTACCTGCCGTTTAAGGGGACCTTGAACCTTGGAAATGGACTGAGAGGGAAGAGAAAGACGAGGCCGGGTCTGGGCACACACCCCGCCCTTCTCGGAGGCCCGCCCGCAGTTTGTGTGGTCAGTGCCTGAGCGTCTGGCCCTGGAGTCCCACCAGAGCTCGTGGCCTTAAAGACAGACCCCCGAGGGTTCCCACCAGCGGGGCTCGCAGGCACGTTGGTCAGGCAGAGAGAGGTCTGGGGACACAAACCTGGCCGGCAGCGGCGGGTCCGCCTTACCAGCCACCAGCCAGGAGGACCGGTGGTAGGCGTAGCGGTACCTCTTGTTGTCCACGGGGACGATGTCCATCAGGACTATGTACTTGGCCTCGGGATCCACGCCGGAAAACGACACGCGGATGGTAGGGAACATCCTCCTGTCACAGGGAGACAAGGGGAGTCGGCCTGAGCTCACACGCCCGCCGGAGAGAGGGAGCGAGGGTTGGCCTCCCCTCCCTGCCTGGCCCTTTCTGTTGTTTCTTGGAAAGCCACCGAGATGGGAATTTAGAGACCGACGGTCTAGATAATTTTAAGTGCCTTTACAAGCGTCCTGGTGGCTGGGGGCAAGTTGGGTTTTCGTTGCGCTGAGAACACCTGCTGGTCTGTGATTACGGAAAAGCCTACCCGCTTTAGCAAGCCCATTAGCTCCCCGCGCGGCGACTTCCTGGCCTTGCTGGGAGGAAACTCGCTCCCTCCCCAGAAAGCGGGAGGGGGTGGGGGGACTCTAGGGTTCAGTTCGGGGAACTCTCGAGGTATTTCCTGGAGTCCTGAGAGCTGGAGGGAGAGACCAAGCACCCAGGGCCACCGACCTCCGGAGCCTCTGCCCCAGGCCCCGGGAGTGCCGGCACCCTCGCTTCCCGCGAGCCCTGAGCCCGCCCAGCTGTGGCGCCAGGGGGCCCGCGGAGCCAGCACCCCCTCCTCCCTAGAGTGTAGTCGCTGGGAATTGCACTCTGCCACCCAGGTTTGACTTTCAGTTTTAATGGGAGCTGGAGGCTTCTGCGGATTGAGGCCCACAGAAAGGAAGCTACCTGCCTTTCTCCAAGCACCCAGCACTCGCCCTGTACCCCTGGGCTCGAGTCCCTCCTACCCTCCAGGTGCCAGGCCTGCACCAACAAACCCTCCCGGGCTGCAGGGGACAGAGGCCCCTGGTCCCTGTGCCTTTCTCATCAAGACCGAGGTGAGCTTTCCCATGGCCAGAGCTCGAGAAATTAAAAAGACCAGCAGTGGTTTCCAAAGCAAACTGGTGGAAACAAGCTCCCCCATTGAGCGAAGCTGCCTCTGGGACCCAGGACCAGCGGGGATTCCCCCGATCCCCCCAAACGACCCACGCCACCCAGGGCGCGTTCCCACCCTCTGCCTCTCCCCGCCACGGCCCCGCTACCTGCCAGACTTGGTGATGATCATCTCCGTGCCCAGTTCGTGGAACTTGTCCCAGAGCTCCTTGGTCTCCAGGCTGCAGGCGATTTTGGCCATTTCCTCGCTGGGGATGATGGGGGTGGTGGGGATCAGCGGCTCGGTACACAGCGCGGAGGACGGTGGGCTGCTGCCGCCCCCGCTGCCCCCGAACTCCCCGTGAGCATCCAGGCTGGTCAGCTCGCCCAGGGGCTGAGCGCAGGGTGACTTCTCCACAAATTGTTCTGCAAGAGAAGGGACAGTGACAGCCAGCGCCGTCCAGCGAAGCCACTGGAAGAGGACCACGGCGAACGTAGGTACCTGGTTTGACCTTGGAAAAGTTGGGCTCAGAAACTCCAGGGCGGCAGCCGAGAGCGCGCCGTGTTCTAAATCTAGCGTGCGACCCCCACGGAGAGGCACGAATCCACCGCTCGCTGGCTGAGCCACACGAGTGAGCTCCAGAGCCGTGGCTCCCGACCACTGCTCCTGAGTCCCGCGCGGGGGAACAAGCTCGTGCGGACTGGAAAGGCAGCGATCGTGATGGACAAAAAGTGAGCGTTTCTGTTTTTATCCCTCCCGGGGTCTAGACCCCTCAGCTCCTGGGATCTGGAGCTGGTCCTGCCTCTTTGAAAGCCAGGGGAGTGGGGGAGATGAGCCCGCTCTCCAGAGAGAACATGAACCGTGGGCCAGAGAGAGTAGGCAGGCAGCTAAAAAAAATCAAGTCACTTCTCTTTCTCCTCTCTGCCTGGCTCTCCGTGCCCTAGGCTTTGGAGAGGCTAGACTAGGGCTTTTGTCCAATGCACCTCCCAGCCTGAGATCTTTAAAAAAGACTAGCATTTAGCTTGTTAAATCACAGGAGTGCAAGCTCTGGGCCATTTCGAGACCACAAGGTCCCAGGAGCGAGGAAAACAATCGGAAAACCAGGCTAGCAGGCGTATTAAAGCAGGAAGGCAGCTTTGCCATCCAGCAGGAGGCTGCAGTGCCGCTGATAAGGGCCTGGGACTCCACCAGTCACTTTGATGGAATACAGGGGGACTTCTGTAATTATCCCAATTATCTCGCATCCCTTAAAAAAGAAACTACTTGAATCTGCAATGTGAAACTGACCTCCAAACAACTCTATTCTGAGTACCCCCAAGGAATTGAAACAAGTTCTCAATGTAGGGATGTGTGTATATATTTATATATTTATACCATATATACATATACATATATATATATATATATATATATACATATATCATATGAAATGGTTTTCTTTCTGTATTTCTCCTTGACTTAGGGCAGGAAATAGAGGGTTTTTACCTTTTCTACTTTTACAATAACAATCCAGCTCCTGGAAGTGTTTTAAAGGAAGAATTGTCACATTAATTATCTCACCCTTATATTTTTCAGTTCAAAGCAAGAGACCCACGCCCTGGCTGCATCGTCTTTTCTACTATTTTCAGAAGCACGTTCACACACTGTCTTCCTAAGGAATTCACAAGGAGCCTTGGAAATTTTATTTTCTGACCATCAAAAAAGAAAAATGCAAACTCTCTAAGCCCCAAGCCACCGGAAGAAGAAAGTGATCCAGAAGTGCTCTAACACGACGTGACGTGTCAAATACATCTCAAATCAAGTTTTTAGAGAAACGCTCTAGGGGTCTCAGGCTGTCCCTCTGAACAGACTTGGTGTGTTCCAGTGCGCAGTCAGGGGACGCCCCACTTCGCTTCGACATCCCACTGGGGTTTCACACCCCATCCGCTCTTCACAGAACCTCTAGGTGTGTCTACTCCTGGCCTACAGTTACTAATCGTGCTCTCTGGGACCGACCCCTAAAAGGGACAGGAAGGCCTTCCGGTCCTTCTGGAGGGGCGCTTACTTCTTCCAGACTGCATGTGTGCTGAGGAAGGGGGCTGGTGGCTCCGAGCTGGGGGCCGGTCCACAGTTTAGAATTTAGGTAGGTGTTTTTTTCTCAGGAAAATCAACAGGCAAGGAAGCAACACTGAAATGACAGTGGCGCTGAAGCTGGCTTGGGTCCCAGCCTGCTGTGTGTACGGGGGTCAGGAATTACAACCTGCAGCTGGCCTTCCCTGCGGGCTCCCACCCTGACACGGGACATCTGCGAAGAATCAGGAAGCCCCCAGGACAGGAGCGGATGATGTAGGGAGGTCCCCCCAGAACATAACTTTGAAATAGGTGGCTAACTTTTTTTTCCTGAACAGTTGAGGTTGTTTCCATTTCTTTGGCGGGTTTAGATTTAGACCACGGGGCAGGTGGGGAGAGCCAGGGCAGGGAGTGAAGGTCTTGAAGGGGAGACTTAAGACTGCACGTTTTCTAGAGACTTTCCACGTTCTCTTTCCCCGGCTCTGCGTTGCTGCAGGGATTTTAATTCTCGGTTCTCTCTCTGCCCAGCTCATTTTTTTTTCTCCATCTCCAGGGCTTCGTCTCTCACATTCTCATTGTTGTTCGGGATGTGGGATATTAAATTATGGGGAAGGACAGGGAGAAGGAAGGAAAAGTTGGGGAGAGTTCAAAATAAATATTACCCTGTTTGCTTTTGTGATGTTTTTCACTGTTTCAGGGTTTCCAGCTGATCAGGATATGAAATAACTATTTCCTGGGGCCCCAAGAGGTGGTGATGAGGGGACGACTTCTCCGTGGTAAGGGGATGCTGAAACACATTTCCGGCAGTTTCTTTCCCACATAATTCACTCGTGCTACGGGGAGCATAACCCCTTTCCTCCCTTTACTCCGAGCCTTGGAGTCTTCTATAAATGGTAAAGGTTGTTAAATAAACAGTATAGCTAAAAGTTGAGGAATTTGGGAAATGGTTACTGGCTGATGTTTTTGCCAACCTCTACTGAAAATGACGGCAGTTATACAATGATGTCTTATTGATACGTCCAGCGCTTCTGTGAAGCCAACGATTCGTGCCGGGAGAGCTGGCTCATTCCACAGCCCTTGACGGTGTTTTTCAAGAGCTGGCCCTGTGTGGCCTATCAAATCGGGGGGAAGACAACATTTAACTAGTTTCTTGTTATGTCACTGGGAGTGGCCTTGGTTTCCACTGCACAAGCAGGTATTATACGCATCATAAATCCCGCTGAGTCTTAGGAGGGGGCTTTATTATTATTTATCCTTGAAAGTTTTTATCCCGACAAAGTTACACACCCAGACAAGTAGAGAGAGCGCCTACCGCGTTATGTGGGATGCGAAAGAGGTTGTGTTAGCAGATTGTGAAGCGTCCCCCGCCAAAAAAAAAAAAAAAAAAAAAAGGTGGGCCTTAAAGGAAAAAAATCTCCCCCTCCCCACGACGTAAAGTCCGTGGCCTAAAGGTCAGAAGCTGCCGTGCGCGAGCTGGGAAAGCGGCCGCACTCACGAGCCTCCCGCAGCCAGGGGACCGAGGGGCACAGGGACAGGCAGCGCCCCAGCTCTGCCCACCCAGGACAGCCAGGCAGCCCGACTTACCCAGGGGTTTGATGGTGTTCTCCGCGGCCTCCTTCTCCTTGGAGCCGCCGCTGGACATGAGCGCGGCGATGGAGAAGGCGTTGGCCCGGGAGGAGAGCTGGGGTTTGGGTGACGCGGTAAACTCCATGACCCCCAGTACGCGGTCCTGGCCAGGGACCGGGCCTGCCGAAGTGCCGTCCAGCTTCCCCAAGGGAGACAAAACCGAAACACAGCGCGAAAGTTTCCGAATGCAATCACAGCGCAGCAGCCGGGGACTCCAGATGAGTCAGCCCCAGCCTCCCAAGAGCTCCACACGGGCCTCTCCACTACCCCACCGCAAAGCCCTGGAGCCGAAGAGACTTGGAACTAGCCGGAGAGGACCGCAGAAGACCAACTGCGGGCTCCACCGGGTGCGCAAGCACCAGGGCGCGCCGCAAGACCACAGGCTGCGCCGCTGGAAGCTGGTGACGAGCATCAGCTGCGCAAAGCCCAGGGGTCCGGCAGCATCCCCTCCGCGTGGAGTGGCCCAAGAGGCAGGGAGGTGAGGATCGGCGGAGCGCGGCTGAGAGGGCGCGGACCCACCGCAGGCAGGTCGGTCGCGGAGCGGCGCAGCACCGAGGACACTGCGCCCGGGGGCTCTCAGCCCCGCGCCTTAATTTGCTGGCGGCGCCGATCCCCGCGGCCACCAGCCAGTCAGCGCCGCCCCACGTCACCGCTTCCTGATTCCGCCGCCGGGGGCGGGGCCTTTGGGCTGGGCGCGAGAAGGGGGGCGCTTGCGCCCCGGGCGCTGCGCCCTCGTGGCCTCCTGCCGCAATCGGCTGCAAACCTGGCACCCGCTGGGGGAAAGGGGTGTCACCATCAGACTGGCGCAGCCGCCAGGGACGCCTCCCTCTTGGTCTTGCAGTCCCGGGGCGGGAGGGAGGTGAGCACTGTCGGGAGGGGCATTTCTGTTGCGACCTAAAATCCAGGATCCCGGGAGTGGTGCAGTGCGTGAACCTAGACTGGAGGAAAACTGAAGTTTTTGCTTCGTCCAGTATTTTTCTTACCGGCGCTCAAAGTTCCAAAAGAAAGTTGGGGAGCGCTAAGTAGAGAGGAAAGCGGCGCAGCAGAGCTGGTGCCCACGGGCCAGATCCCATTCTCCGGGTAGCCCCCTGGGCTGAGTCCCCATACTGGGTGGGGGGCGGGGGGCTCCACTGTCTACCTGCTTGACACTGAGGGGCGCAGCCCCTCAAAAGATGCGCCAAGGCGGTGCTGCGAGCATCGGGCAAAGGACGCTGCCCTCGCAACCAAGGTTTCCGCTGCACACCGGCGTGCCTCTCACCCGGGGTTCGTGTTCCCGGGAGGGACTCGGGAAGGTGGGGCTCCGACCGAAGGGAAAGCGAGGGGCGGGCGCAGTGCGGGAGGGGCGGGGTGGCACGGCACCCTGCGGGGACACGCGACGCACAGCGGGAAAGTGGGAGCCTCGCAGCGCCTGGGCTCGGCGGACACGGAGCCCTCGCAGCCCGGGCGGCGACCGGGACTTCCCACGGCCTGGTGGGGGTCGTCCTGGTGGCCGCGTTCAGCTCGAATAACTCACATTCTCCGAATTCGCAGGGTGATCCGCTTCGCTCTGAGCGGCGTATACTCAGGCGGACACACACACTCGAGCTGTACACGTAAACATTTGCGCTCCTTCGCAGCCAGTCGGCCTGGCGATTCCGGAGCCTCTTGGTGGGTCTTACATGGGCGGCGTGGGGGAGAAGGAAAGACAGCAGCCCCCGTTTCCCACCAGACTTTTACTTTCCTCCCTGCCCTTGCCCTCCCTGGCTCCTGCACTGAGCTCGCGGGGGGAAGCTGAGAGTCTAAGGTCGAGGACATTTATTGAGGAAAACGATGTCATCGGGCAGAGAGAGGCGTGATTCAAGCCCGCCTCGTCATCGCCTGTCGATAGCTTCTAACGCGGCGCTGCCTGGGGGTGACCGAGAAGCGCGTTCTGTGGTCCGCCTCCCTGCGCCCTGTGTCTGTGCAGATGTTTGGGGAGATTCGTGAAGTCGTGGACTCTTGCGCGGGAAGGGGTTTATGCCGCCGTCTGGCCCAGCTCGGCTTTCTTTTGAGAGAGAATAACCGGGTCTGGCGCGGCGGAGGGCGCGAGTCCCTCTGCAGGGCGCCCAGCCGGCTAAAGGCAGACTGGCGCTCAGGCCGGCGGCACCCCAGGCCACCGTCCTGGTCCCCGCCTGACCCGGTCCCGCGAGGGCGAGGGCAGAGCCAACGCCGGCCGAGAGCAGAGGGCTTTCCCGTCGCACCGCGGTGAAGACTGGAGGGTCAGTTTCCTTCCTTTAGTTTTCCGTCCTTTGCTGTTTTTAGAGGACCGCGACCCAACCCTTGGGTCACTGAAACCTCCCACCTCCCTCCCCACTCCCCGCTGACTCCCCCGCACCGCAGCAGCGACATTTCTTGCGCGTTCGAGGCTGGTTCCTCTTCTGTCTCAGGTGCTTAGAGTTCGGCAGGGAAGGAAGACAGATGTCAAGAGTTTTTTTTGGGGGGGGGGGCTTGTGGTGGTGATATGTGTTTGGGGATTTTTTGGGGGGAGTGTGATGGGGAAATGTCACAGTTAATCTAGAACTAGGCATGCTTTAGCTGGGTGTCGAACATCTTGTCTGCGGGTTTGAGTTATCGGAAACTTATGGTGGGATTGTACCTCGATTTAAAAAATTGTCATTGCTTTTCTACACAGAGGGCATGCTGTACCTTTTCTTAATTGTCGTAATGGTTCAGACTGGGCTTTGAAGAATACCGTGAGAGGGACGTTTGTAGGAAAACTGGCAGAGCAGGGCGGGTGCTGACTGGCCCCCCCAGTCTGTTTCCACTTTCTTTTCTCATCGCCCACCGGGCCTCAGCCCAGCTCCGAGTCTCTCGTAGGTAGGGAACTTCTGGCTGTTCATCCTATTACAGGTGAGAGGGAAGGAAGGGAAAAAAAGGCTAAGCCAGCAGGCGGCAAAGGCCGCGCAGACCCGGGCTCCAGCGGTGAGCTGTTCAGGGACGCCTGACAAGCGATGCATCTTTGCGGTGTTGAAACGGCAGCAGCAGAATGTATACTACAACGTAATTATCAAGGGCACAGTGCCCCTTCGCTTAGATTTATTGCCTTTCCAAATCAATATATCGGTAGTGCTATATATTAAAAAAAAAAAAAAAAAACAGCAACAACCAGGGAAACGGAGCTTAGCCGAGAGAGGCTGTCAAAAGGTGCCTTCGAGACGTCCCGAAGAGGCGGGCGCGGAATTCTGAGGTCCCTTGCACCCCCTGAGTTGGGGGGGGTTAACAGGTAAAGCCACGGAAGAGGCGGGAAATAAAGCGACCCCGTTAACACTTCCCTCCGGGCCCTTCGCGGGCTGACGGCGGACAGGCCGGTGACGCTTTCCGACACTGGAAAGTGCCTTCGACTCCAGAAGACTCTGAATCTTGACCTTCGCCCGGGGTTAGCCCGGAGACTTCAGGTGGGCCCCCTAAACTTCCCAAAGCCTCGGCTTCACCATCCACACTAAAATAGGGCCAATAATTTACTCCTGCCTGGAAAACGGTTCTATGGATTTTAATGAGGGAACAGGCAGAAAGCGCCTAAACCGTTAGCAGCTTTAAGTCACCCCGATATAAGTAACACGCTAAGTACGGGATTTTGTTCTATTAAATTTTTGAACTGCCATTTTGCGACCACAGAGCCGCAGACAATTTTGAAATGTGCACAGAAGACTGGGGTCACGGGGTGAGTAACGGGCCACGGTTTAAATCCTGTTGAACTTTGCAGCCTGGAAATTTAAAATTTGGGGGCATACGTCTGAGTTTGGTTACACCGACTTCGATTTTACGGAGGACTGCAGGATGTCCTATACACGCCACGCTTTCAAATTCTCATTTGTGGCATCCGGAACTCAAAGCTTCCTCGGCCCCGAAAACGGTCCAAGAAGCAACAGTTTTCCCGCTTTTGGCCAATGGCCCCTAGCTTAACTATGGCTAAAGCAGAGCCCTTCGCTGGCAGCGGCAGGGGCCAGTCCCCGGCTGGGAGCCGTGCTCGGTGGCGGGGCCGGGTGCGGGATCCAGAGCACCGTCCGGGACCGGACGGGGAGCGCCGGACGGAAGGTGGGAGAGAAGACCAGCTTCTCAGCACGCGGGAAGCCAGCTGCTCCAGGTCGTGGAGGGACATCCCGTCCCCATCCTCTCTTTCACTCCTTCCGGTAAACGGTTTAAAAGCCAGAGTGATGGGACTCGGGGTCTTTGGATTTCTATATTCGGTTTGCCGCACGGAAAGACTGCCGAAGCAGCGTGGGAGAGAGGCCGCAGCCGTCCGCGGGCTGCTGCTGCTGCGGGTCCCCGTGGCGCGCAGAGAGAGCGGCGCGCGTCGCCGCGTCCAGCAGGGAGCGCGCGGCGCGGCCTCGGATTTCAGCGCCGGCGGAGAGGGCGGTTCCCAGCCTTGCCTCGGAGGAGCCGAGGCCAAGGCTCAAACGCAAATGCTAGCGGGGTTAGTTAAGTTGCCTTGACCCCCAAAGTGGTCCCCGAGATGCGCCCCTTCCAGCCCGGGCAGCAAGCACCCGCGCAGAAGGGAGGCCCCGGGTGGGGCCTCTCGAGGCGTCCCCGCCCAATGCCAGCTGCCAGGACCAGGCAAAGATCCGCTCCTCGGGGGGCACGGCCCGAATGCGTCCCCTGACGGTCCCGGTGGTGTGTGCGCGCGCACGTTCCACCCGGGACCTCAGCTCCACGCCCAGCTGTCGGACCCAGAACGGGGATACCGTGTGGGTAGAGCAGGTCGCACCCGTTTCCAGAGCCCTGTCCTCAGGTGGTGAAGGGAAAGGGTCACTCAGACTGGAGCCTGGGCACTGCGGCATGCCGTGCCCTGGGCCTCCTCCGGCTCCCACCGGAGGCAGTGCTTGGCCTGGGGGCAGAGGTCAGGCGCCAGGCCCCAAAGCCTCCTCCCAGGATGCCCCCTCTAGGCTGTGGCCCTCCCGCCCCATCCACCCCGCGACCGCAAGCTTCCCGGTTCTTCCTCCAAGAGCTCTCGAATGCAGGGACCTGCCCTGGGCGCCCTACGCCTTGGGATCCGGGAAGAACCCGTGCGCTCCAGCTGGGTGCAAAACTCAGCGTGACCCCGAGAACCGCGAGGAAAGATCGCCTCTGACCCAGTGAGCCCGGGGTGCAGACCGCTCTCCGCCGCCGCTTGCCCTCCGTCCTCCTTTTCCCTGCCTTCCGCCTTCCTTCTCCAACCCACCTCTTGGGACGCCGCTGCCTCCTCCTCCCCACCGCCAGGCTGCCCACGGACCCCATCTCCATTTAAAGCTCAGATATTTTGTCCATCGTGAATTTTGTTGCATGGGTTTTGCTTTTTTTAAAGTTGCTGCATTAAAATATTGTTTCTTGATTACTGAAGGGTGTTGTTTTTTTTGCCTCCCCTTAAATGTTGGGCTCTCACCCTAGTCCCCGCCTGTCAGAGGGTTAAGAAGTTGATCGACATGACGTTGGTGCTAAGCATTGGAGCGAGGATTCCAAGGCAAATTGCTGGCTTCGACAGCAGCGTCGCTGCTGCCATCACCTCGGGCACTACCCTGCTTAAGTGGGAACTCCCTGGAGGAGGAAGAAAGCAGGC